ATTTTGGTGGCTCGTTCACCCAGAGCATCCGGAGCTCTGTACCGTGGAGCCTAGCAACCTCCACGAGACCGTCTGTGTTGTCTGTCTATAACTGCAACTCAATCAAGTTTTCCAGCCTACACCACTGCCATCTCGGTGTAAGTAAACAATCTTTAAAACTACCGCTAAGCGTTTGTGCCTAATTCCAGCTCGACGGCCTTTCCTCTCTGACCTGGCGTGCCCGGGCTGCTGGCCACAGCCCGCGTGCAGCACGGAAAAGGGCTCAGGTCGCTCCTGGCCCGCACAGTTACCCTTCGCATCCCTTGCTAGGTACAACTCTAATTGAGCTTTGGTCTTCCTGACTTCATCCTTGCATGCCCAAGCAATAGTCTTATACTCTTCCTTAGTTGTTCAAGTTTCCACTTCTTATAAGCTTCCTTTTTGTGATTTAGCTTACTGAAGAGGGCCCTGCTAAGCCAAGCTGGTCTGCCATGCTTGCTAGTCTTCCTGCACATCAGGATGGTTTGTTCCTGCACTCTCAGTAAGGCTTCTTTAAAGTAGAACGAGCTCTTCTGGACTCCTCTGCTCCTCAGACTGGCTTCCCAGATGTTACTCTGATCTCATTGAAGTTCAACCTCTCACTAAATTTTGTGTTTTAAAAATACTGTTCAGCCACTGCATACCAATATGCAATGAAGAAATTCTATACATGCCTGCAGAATATGGATTCTTCTTGCGTGTGAATGCAGGTTACAGTTTCTGCAAGCAATCCCAGCTGACATTCACAAACTCACTACTGTCCTTGGCTCTTAAATATTACACCTACGTGCTCTTAAGTTTACCTTAGTGTAAAGATGCTACTGCAACGTCTTTTCCTTTGGTCTTTGACACTTCCTAGGTACAGGGTGCTCTTTCACATAAGTGACACCTTATAGCTCAGTGGCTGACTTTCTCTCTGTCCCCCCCACAGCCCCCTGAAGTCCCCAGGGGTTTAAACATCCTCTCCCAGAGTGCCGATGTGTTGCTAAAGGCACCCAGGCCCATGCTGGACCAGAGCTGGGTTGCTGCAGCTCACAGCTGCCTAACCAACTGGCTACTTGGCTAAAACAAGGGAGGGTTATCCTCCTCCTACATTTAATGTCCAGAAAGTATGTGCACACACATTCAGGGAGAAACAGAATTGCAAACTGTGGTTAAGTGACAAAAATGGGGCTGATGCAGCTGGACAAGGAGCATTTGGGCACAAAGTTAAAACAAGGTCTTGTCCCAAATATTCTAGATATTTCTTAGACAGTCAGGGTTTCCTTGCCTACAGTCTGATTTATCCATAAACTAGGCGTGTGAAAGTTTAAATGGTTAAACTGTAATTATATTTATACCATTAACACATTACAGTTAACAATTAACAGTTAATATACTTTTCTGAAATAAGGCTTGTTTGCTACAGTGGAGTTCATTGCATCAGATTTTCAAACAACGTGTGAATTATAATGTGGTTTACCAGGACTACACAGTGTGGCAGCATGGTGTGTCCCTCAGCCCAACCCATCCGTCCTGCTGTGCCGGCGTGGTATGACCCTCAGACCAACCCATAGGTATGTCTTACCAGTTAAACTAGGGGTGGCAAAATGGCAGATCTGGCTGGTGGCCGGACTCCATTTTCTAGCAGCCCCAGCTACCACCTGGTCTCCTTGCAGACCCCGGGAGCATGGGAGTGTGACTGCATGAGGCCATGACAGTGCAGGGTGCAGAACTGGGGCTCTGCCCTGACCTGACCCTGTGCTGCCACTGTCCCTGCGCTCCTGGGGTCTCCACAGACAGGCCAGGGGCCACAAAGGCAGGGTGTGTGGCTGGGCAGGGCGCTGCTCCTGGGCCGGGATCTTGTAGCAGTGACAGCACAGGGCAGGGCTCTGCTCCCAGCGTGCCCCTGCCCACAGAACCTGCGCCTGTCACCAGGGCATGGGGGCAGTGGATTGTGGCTCTGCCCCGGCCCCGCTCTGTGCTGTCACCGCCACAAGATCCTGGCCCCAGCCCCAGCGCAGCTCCGCGCACAGCTCCTGGCTGGTCTCCACGGAGACACCAGGAGCATGTGGGTGTGACAGCGTGGGGCCGGGCCCGGGCAAAGCCCTGGTTCTGTGGCCCTACACTGTCACGTCCCCAGGCTCCTGGGAGACTGGCCAAGGGCTGGGGCTGCCAGGAAATGGAGTCCACTGCAGGCCTGATCCAGCCTACAGGCTGGACTTTGCCCACCTCTGAGTTAAATGGTTAACTGATATAATTAGAAGAGTTTAAACAACTGAATTTTAAAATAATATTTACATCGCTACCATGAACTCAGGTGCAAATCAACAACTCTTTCTGCTACCTACAAATGCAAACAGAGGTGGAACCTCCAGCAAAAATGTTACTGAATGCTTACTACCACTCTCCTAGGGGGCTGCCCATTCACGGTGCAAGTTTGGTGTCAGATCTCTTAGCTGCTGAACACTATTTAGATTCCTCACCAATGGCCTGAACCAAGTATCACTGAAGTCCAGAACACTTACAAGAACATTAAAACCATTTCTGCTACAAGCATTATTGACCCGTTTAATTCAGCATTGAGTAAATTTAAAAGAAATCTAAATACATTGAAATATTTGAATATAACTGAATAAATACATTTATTTGAAACTTCTATATTTACCCTTTGAGTATTATAAAACTGGAAAGAATTTGCTATATAACAAACAGGATTATTTTTTGCTTAAAAGCTTCCTTAAACTTAATATTGGAGGTGTATCCAGAACTGCTGTAACACATTTTGCCAATTTTTTTTTTTTACTCAGTTTTTAACAGATTGAGAGGAAATATGCCAATATTTGGCTTGCATAGGTAATTATCTTTATTTTTCAGATTGTACAGCTATAATAACTATATTTATAAACAAATATGTCGAAAAATACTGGCTCCATCCAATATGTCACACACAAAGGGGCATGAATAGATCTTGCATGCCTGACTCTCAAACAGCATTAAATCTTTAATTATTAGTAAAGAATGATAGATTTCTGGGGTATATTTTATATAAATATGTCTTTTATATTACTCATCATTGTGTTTTTGATAATTTTAACATACATCCTTTTGAGAGTTTTGAATACAACACAGCACAGGAACTGTGCTTTCTTTAATAATACATGCATATATACAGCATTTTATTTTAATATTCACTAATAAATTTTCAAATCTCCATTTTGTGTTTGCAGCTTAGTAATGAATCAGTGATAATTTAACATGTGACCAAAAAAGGAAGACAGAATAAGTAGTAAACTTGACTTTTTATCCCTTGAATCTGTGAATTTAAGTTATCAACTTCAGCTTGCACTTGTTTTTTTTGCATTAAAAGGTGATCAAGGAACCAATGTAATCAAATTATCCTTTAGTATTGTTAATTTGTTTTGCTAACTTGGCATTTATTTGTGACAGTAGATGCTCTTCAAGTACCTGCACCAAGTTAAGTTTTTGTAGTTCACACAGCACAGGGGTGTCAAACTTACCTTCTGCCCTGGGCCAGATCTGGACCATGGGGCTCCTTGCAGGCTGAATCCAGCCCAGGGCGTATGGTAGCTCTTGTGGCAGCATCAGCAACTCCAACTCCTGTCTGGTGCACATGGCAACAGTGGCTCCAGTTCTTACCATGTACCCTATTGCGGAGCTGGAGCTGTTGCCACCACCACTTATTTTGTGTTGGTAAGGCAGCTCTGCCATGGGGCAGGTGGTGACGGTGGCGGTGACCATGGCAGCAGAACTGGTGACCAAGGGGCTGAGGCTGTGATGACAGGTGAAGCAGATGGACGATGACCTGGGCTGTGCTGGCCCTCAGTTGCCCTCCTGCTGCCAAACGCCATGTCCAACTGGAATTCTGCAGCCAGCTGCCCCTTGGCCATCATGAAACCATTAATCCTATTCCAGCCTCTCCAAAAATTATTTAATGAAAGTATTACTGCACATGGAATCAACTTCAGTGTTACACAGCTGTCACAATACGTAAAAGAAATCTACATAAAATAAATATTACTGGCTAAAGTGCTTTTTTATAGAAAATTATAGTCATTTTGAGAAATACTCACTGAAGTATTAGCGTGACTAATCGAATGGCTTCAACAGCAACATCATATTCCTTATCAAGTGTCATTGATACAATGCGATCCTGAAAAAAAATGTTACAATTACAAAACACATTATATGTACAGCTTACAAAAGAATAAATCTTTAACAGATATTCTTCTGAGTTAGACTCAGGACAACCATTTGAGTTTTTTCAGAGAGGCTATGGTTCTTTAGTGGAATGTACCTCCATTGCAACATGTAGGACAGGTTCTACATCTAACACAGAGAAACACACCAGAGTGGGAACATGTGCTAACTAATGTACTTTCCTCTGGCCCACATTGCTGTGCACCATGCAGGAGCCAGGCAAACAACTTGTGGCACAGAAGCACCACTCTGGACAAATGTCATATTAGCATACCTCCCCTGCAAAGGAATGGAGGTAAAGCCTTATTCAGCCTATCTAAAATGTTCCTAGAGACTGTCCAGCACCCATGAAGAGAAGACAGCAGTGAAATGATTTGTTTTCCAAATATTTTTTTAAAAATGAAGCAGACATGCCAGTCATTTGTCTTTCAGTGCATAGAAGTGCTGCTAACTGCCCCACAGTACTGGGCAAGGAATAGCCGCTTCATGAGAAAAGAATTGGAGATCTACTGTCATTAAAAGCTTGAAAAGGAGTTTATTCAGTTACTAAGAGCCAAATTAAAATCTAGAACACCACTGGGACATATTGAGAGAGCTGAAGGAATTTGTCTTTGGAACAGAAGAGGGCCTTTGACTTCAGGTTCTTTCTTCACTACTGAAGTAGACTAACAAGACCATGACCCCACCCAAAAAGATTTTGTTCCCTTGAATCTTATAACATCATGGTCAGACAGGCTACCTTGAAGTTGACAGTGTTGAGAGGTGGCCTTTTTTTCCTTCAAGGCCATTCTTCTTGTGCTGTTCTCAGAGACAGATCCAGGATTTGGCAAAGGGAAGACGAAGGAGCAGCAAACTGTGCTACAGAGGTGGTTGCATCCCCAACATTCAGCCTCTTCCTGGAAGAATCCCTCCACTTTCCCTCCCCACCTGCCTCTGCTGCTTTCCCCAGTGTCCTGGGAGCAGGGAAAGCTTCAGAGCTGCTCCTGCCTTCTCCAGCTGAGCTATATGAGACCTGGGCTCAGCTGGATAGTGAAAGCAGCAGTGAAAATGGGTGGGGATGGGTTCTCCCACCCTGCCTACTCCCCCTGGAGTACACATGAAGAGGAGGAACCCTCCATCCATTGCCACTGCCTCCAACTGAGCCATCCCCCATGGAGCTGGAGTAGACAGGAGTGGGCAGCGGGGAAAGCAGCAATGGGAGGCAGGGGAGGAAGGAAAGTGATGTGGCTCTGAGCATGGAAGGGAAGGGAGAGGGGACTCTCACTTGCTTTGGGTACTTTAAAGACGTCCCCCAGGGACTCCTGTGGGGTGGTCTTCTCGAAAAGGGAGGTGCAGCTGTGCCACTACATCCCCTCTGGATCTGTCCTAGCTGTCGTTATTCTAATGTGATTGTACCAGGTAAAACTGACCTGTGCACCTCAAGCACAGCGAGACTGGAAAAGGTTGTGGCATAAATGCGCTCTCCTGCCTCATTAGGGTTACCTGATAACCCTAAAGCAAGCAGGAGAACTAGCTCAAGCGTCAGCTTTCCTGGTCCAACCCTGCACGGCATCTCCCAGGAACACAGGCATACAGGGCAGGTGGAATTGTCCTGTGCACCTCTTTCTAGGAGAAGCCTGGTGGGGGCTGGACCAGGAAAGGCTGTGGCACAAGCCAGCTCTCCTGCTTGCTTTAGGCTTACCAGAGTACCCTAATGAGACAGGAAAGTATGTGTGTGCTGCAGACCTTCCCACTGGCTGTGCAACAGGTATGTGGGGCACTTATACCTGGCTGCGGAAGCAGCACCTGTGCTGTGGCACCCCTGAGAGAAGTCTTGCAGCTCTCAATGCAAACCACAAACCTAGATAAGTCCTTGAAAAACAGTGAGACAGCTAGTATAGCTCTTTCCTTCCTTTAAATTAATGCACATAATTTCAGGACGGTTAAACAGTTAGGTGAGATACATTTAGTCTTAGTGTAGGCTGTCAAGATCCACATTTTTTCTTCTTACTTTTTTGGCACTCTTACCTTGAATCTGTTAGTGAATAGCTCCAGTTTAGGAAACAACTCCCTGTTGGTGTACAGGCTTTGAAGAGCTTTCAAACACTTCAACCTCACTTCACCTTGCTAAGTAAAACAAAATAAGGTTGGTTAAAATAATATCCAAATTAAAAGTGCACACAGATTAAGTAGCATAATTTGAACAATGTCTAGATGTACAATATGTTTTAGATAACTTATTTACATAGAATATTAACAATCTTGGCAAGCAATTCAACAATTCAGTTAAAATGTACATAAGCAGTGAATAGTCTTTAAAATTAAATATCAGTTTTATTCCTTTTTTTGCTCACACAAATGACTTGACCTGCACTACTGAATAACTATTGCTCTTTGGTGTCTGTTGTATATATAATACAAAAACTTAATACATAAGGCTGGGGAAGAGTGGGGCAATTCATCAACTCAAACTCCAAAAGGATGAGAGGTAGGCAAGTACCAATCTCATGCAGCTACACATCTTTAGGAAATAAATTACATGCTACTTTTTCACTGGATACTTCATGCACTTGATTGTCTGCAGGGATTTAACAAGCTTTATGGATCTATGTTAAAAATAGTTTGTATAGGCATCAAAAAGGTTACAGAAATCTGCTGCTGCAGCATGATTCACAAAACAAAATATAAATGCAAAGTACTTTATCTCAGTACTAATACAAGATATTCTGAGAGCTAAGGTATCTCAGCAAAATAATATAAATCACTGAGCTCCTGACCACCTCACTTCCTTTCTCCTGATCTTCATACAACCCAAATGGAAGAGAGGTAGAGGTCAGTGACTGGGAATGTACAGAAGAACTACATACAGGTAAATAACCATTGCTTTATTTTGGGGGTGTCCCTGCTAATGTGAGACTGGTTCTGTCAGACTTTGGAAGTGTGCTCTCTGGCTTAGATACTTTTAATACTAGCGCAGAAGAATCTGGAGGGATAAAATAGTCCCTTGAATGTATTTTCTATGTAGTTTTGCAAATATTTTGCCTCAGGACATTTTACAGCATAGAAAGCCTCAATGTATGATGCACACAGGAGATAATGAAATTCTAGGCTCCTGATGTGAGCCTAAGAGCCTAAGTACACCAAACTCATTAGCTTTAGGACAAAGTCTTCGTAGTCCAAGAGAAAGTTGATGTAAGATTCAGACTTGGTGGTTCAAGAGAAAGTTGATGTAAGATTTGGTCAGGGAGAATCCTGCAGAACTTTCCTTTGGCTTGCCTAAAATTCAGAATCACTCCAAACAGGGAAGAATTGGTTGAGAATGTGAAGATGGAAGGTAACTTAGGTGACAGTGATCATGAAATGATACTTCAAGATCTTAAGGGGAAGAAGGAAGGAGAGCAGCACAATAAGGGCACTGGACTTCAGAAGAATAGACTTTAACGAACTCAGGAAACTTGTGGGAGTCCAGGAGAGTGGGCTGTAGTTTTAAGGAGGCCCTCATAAGGGTACAGGTGCAAGCTATCCCAATGCAAGAATGGGAAGTGCAAAAGAAGACCAGCATGGCTACACAGCAACCTCTTCAATGAGTTGAAACTCAGAAAAGAATCATACAAGTGGAAACTTGGTCCTATTATTAGGAAAGAGTTAAAGACCATCACATGGGTATACAGGGAGAAAATTACAAAGGGCAAGGTATGAGCTGAGATGCAGATGGCAAGGGATATAAAAAGGGATTTTATAAGTATGTCAAAAGGAAGACAGCCAGAGAAACCATGGGTCCCTTATGAAATGCATCAGACAATCTATTTATTGATAATGCAGAGAAGGCTGAAGTATTTCATGCATTTATTAGTTTAGTCTTTACAAATATCAGATGACGAGTACATTTGGCAGCAAAGACAGGAAAGGAGACAAACAGTCTAAAGTAGCAGAAGTACAGGTTAGGGATTACTTATGGAAGCCAAGTACTTTCAAGTGTGCAGGGCCCAATGGGACGTACCCTAGGGTAGTGAAGGAATTGGATAAGGAATTCCAAAGCCATTGGCCAGTTTGGAAAGATTCCAACACAGAACACAAATGATTAGGATTCTGGGAAACAAAACTTGAGAGGAAAGGCTGAAAGAACTAGAGTTATTAGGTCTGGAGAAGCACAGACTGAGAGGGGATTTGATAGCAATCTTCAATTACCTGAAGGGCGATTGCACAGAGAAGGTAGATGGGCCCATGACCATAGGGAACAGGACTAGGATCAATGGCCTCAAGTTGCACCAGGGGAAATTTAGGTTGGAGGTCAGACGGAACTTTCTGGCTAGGAGGGTGGTCAAGCATTGGAACAAGCTACCTAGAGGCACTGTGGAATCTCCATCCTTGGAAGTTTTCAAAAGCAAGTTAGACAGACACTTGGCTGGGATAGTTTAGTCATGAATGATCATGCCTTGAGCAGCGGGCTGGACTAGATGACCTTGTAAGGCCCCTTCCAGCCCTATTTTCCTATGATCCTATGCAGGAGGTCACCCTGAACTTGAAGCATTTTCTATTTTCTGGAATTGTCTTAAATCCTAAGAAATTACATAAAAAATAAAAAAATGTGTTAAAAGCATTAAGTTTCTAAAATCAAGGACACTCAAAAGTTTGGAAATGTCAGACTTAAAGCTGCTTGTTAAATCTCAGTCCAGCCCCCAGGTACATATATGCATTATGATATCATGTTTATTATATGATCACATCCTATTCATCTAAAGTACCCCTGCCTCACTCATTCCATAGCATGGACATTGAATAAAGAAAATAATGCAAGAAGGGACATATTTCAGCATTTAAGGTACATGCCTAGGACCTGGGACATCTGAAATCAAGAGATACCTGCTAGAGATGACCTAACTTATGCTTGGCAAGTCAATTATGCATTAATGGGGTAGGAGTATCAAGGCTGCACTGGCAATCTTGAATATTTTCCTAACTGTGGATTGACGTTCCATTTTTAACATAGCCTTTACTAAAAGCTTTTATATAGTACCTCTGGTTCCATTTCTTTTCCCTGATTCACAGGTTTGAAGATGAGCAAAGCAGTAAGAAATAATTCTGAAGTGATTAATTTCTTATTTCATATCAACTACAGATACGACTGGCGGCATACAGAACAGAAACAGGCAAATATACGTCAATTATCAACTCTGAACCTGACCACAGCATAGGATTAAAAGATAAATAAAAACTTCCATTGGAAACCTAAATTAATCAGCTTTGCAACTGAGTCTTCATTAAATAGAAACAGACCTCTGATTAGACAGGGTTCCCCATGCACTGCCAAATAAAATGCAGTAAATACTGAAATAGTAAGGCTCCAAATCAAAGGCTGCTGAATTAAATACAGGTTCTGATTATAAAGGTCCAGTTAATCAAGTATTCTAGATAGAAATTAGAAAATATGTATGATTAATGATGTGATGGTATGCAATATACTTATCTGGGGCTTTTGCAAAGAGGCTTCTGTGTATGAAAGCAAACAAAAACTGCATAGCTGGCCATATTTCTTTTGAACAGGTTAGAGACGGGGGCGGGGGAGGAACAAAACGACAGAGCTGTACACGCGACAAAATTGGCCTTTAAAGCAGCTTAAATGCCCTTTTGCACTGCTTAAATGGCACTGCTATTTACACTGTTGGCGGTGTATTGAGCGTTAAATGACTTTGGGACATAGCAAAATAGAACATGTCTGATCTGTTTTAGTTTGCTACCTTATAGCCGCGGAGGGAAGCACTGGGCCCCATGCAGCTCAGGGGCTGTGCAGGCAGCCCAGGCAGTCAGATTCCCCTGAAGAAAAAACCCCCCAAAAACCCAGTGAGCCTTATTTTTTTCCTCCCCTCTCCAGAGCCCGCCTGCCTGAGCTGCATGGGGGCTTAGTGCTTCCCTCCATGGCTGCGGTGCCCCTGGGACTGCCCAGGCCAGGTGCTTGCGGACGGGTGCCACCTGCGGGGCACCACCATGGAGGGAAGCACTGCTCCCCACCCCACTCCACATCTCAGGGACTGCTCAGCCCACCGGCAGCTCACCCTTCCTGCCGCCAGAGAGGGAGGTAAGGATCGGGCCCAACCCTTGTGTACATGCCACAGGGGTTTATACTTTGGTTTAATTTGAAGCAGTGTTTTTAAAAACCCGTTGCTTCAACTTAAGGAGAATTAAACCAAAGTAAGCCACCGTGATGTGTACAAGCAGCCAGGGTATATCACCGTTAAAAACTTATAGCATTGCTTAAAAACTTCTCTGTCCCATTGCAACTTTGATACCTCTATTGCTTCTTTTCAAGAGGAGTTCTTTGGTTTGGAATCTTTAATATTTTATAATGGAAAATGTAGTCCTGTTCTCCCCCAGCACTCCTCAAGCTTCATAGTTAAAAATGTATATGTGCGCTCTGTTCTTAAATACAGATTCCTAATAAATTGCTATGGTTATATTTTTTGCAGAAATTCTGCAGGCTGATCTTTTTAGAAACCTAAGGAAATAGACCTGGCAGGAGGTTCTAAGGTCCTTCTCCAATCAGATACTTTGCTCTGCAAGGCTTACAGTAATTTTGTTTTTTGTAATATTATATTCTCCATATCCTAGACAGTTTCTCCCAAAGTAGAGATCAAATCTTTAGTACTCTGCCTCTGAAAGTCAGTCCTGCAGGACTCCCTGCAATGATTCCAATGCAGTCTTCATATCAGTTTAATTTTCAGATGTCATCTGAAGCAGGATGTGGATCCAAATCATGATGTTTTCCATTGCTATCTGTCCTGCACATCCAGTATTTCTTTTGCACCCAATATTTGTCCAGAGAATCTAATTATTTTGTGAGTTCTCTGTTCATGTGAGACAAGTATACTTTATGATCACTCCAGCCAAGATTCTTTGGGTAAATCTGATATCTTTTATTAGAACAACTCAAATAGTTGGAAAAATTCTTCTTAACAAGCTTTATGATCACTGCTGTATTCTTCAGCTCTTCGATAATGTAAGTAGATTCATAGATGCTAGGGTTGGAAGGGACCTCAACACATCATTGAGTCCAACCTCCTACCTAGGCAGAAAAGAGTGCTGGGGTCAGATGCCTATCCAGCCTTCTTTTAAATACCCGCCAAAGTAGG